GTCAGAACACGTCTAAAAGAGAAGAAGCTTTATTTGAGCCTCTAAGACATATTCGGTTAAAGAGTTTGCCCCAAAGTCTAATTACAACCTCTGCTCACCAGAGATGCGGCTGTAGGTGAAAGCCTTAAAGCAATCCAATAAACACCAGGATACTATGCGTTGGACATGGGATCTGTCACGTCAAATTCAGCTCCATTGAAATTGAAAACCTGCAGTTTTGATGACGAAAAAGACAAACGTACAAAATATAATAATTTTTGGTTATCACATCTCGTGTGCCCGCTATCTTAATTGGGAAGGCACTATTGCCCAACTCTTTTATATACTTCCAAGCCTAAAGGCTAACATCACCGTCACACAGGTATTGCGCTGGACGAGATAGAGAGGGAAATGAGTAGGTCCTTGAAACAGGTACTGCAGCGGCCTCATAAAAGTGCGCAAATTTGGCATTGAATTCGCGTGTGGAGAGAGATTCGGCAATAACTCCGGTGGATGAACGTCTCGTAGTAGTTGGCATCAGCTCGAATTTCTTAAACATACCGCTGGTTCGTGCCCACGCCCTGACGAATGAATGATGCGACCAAAAATGATTTTCACAAGCGGCTTACAATGTCAAAATTATGTTTAGTGACTTTAACGCCAAAGTGACAGTGAAGGTACCTTTGGCACTGCAGTCTAAAAATTCAGCAGCCATTTGGGGATGTTGGAATAGCCTACCAAAGACGACCAGGGCCGAGACCACGGACAACTCCGGTCCGGCATTAAGAATGACCTCTTCGAGCCGTTCGCTACCAAGCGGCGTTACAGACATGGGTGACTCTTTATCAATCGGTTTCTTCAATTTGAAACTGGATAATCAGAACAGCACGGCAAAGTAGATAAAGCACAATCTTTTACAAGAGTGTACAACTGCTGGCGTACGGCGAGGACATTACGATACAATTGGCCTGCATAACCTCACACTGAGTTCTGTTTTCTCCAGAACGAGATAAGAAAGCGAAGCGCATGAGATGAAGTATTTCCTGTCAGCAAACAAACAGTCAAGGCATTCGCGACGAGTCACCCTTGTTTTTGTTGACAGGAATTACTTTGGGGTCGCAGATAATTTCGTCTATCTTGAAATCACTTTTACCAACAGGAGCTTCTTTGGATTGAATAGACAATTGAAAAGTTAAGTTCTCTCTTGATGAATGAAAACCAAACTGCTAAAGTCGCTCATTGTTCTCGACCTGCTATATGGTGCGCAGGCATAGACGATGACTGTATCTGATGAGTCGACGCTAGGAGTTTTCCAGACAAAGTTTTGCGTAAGATTTATAGTTCTTTATGAGTTGGGAATGGCAAATACGGTAGCCGATGGAACGATGAGTTGTGCGAGATATACGGTGGAATCAACAAAGAACAACAACAACGGATGGATAATAATACTCCAGCTTTGAAAGTTGTCGATGCAGTACCCGATCGTGGAAACAGAGGAAGGGAAAGACCTCCACTCAGTAGAAAGTATCAGCTAACAATATATCGCTCCACGTTTCCACGTTGCTTACAGTCAAATAGGTACGAAGGTTTGCAGATACTACAATGGGACTGTGATTTTATTAATACAATAATTAACATTCAGTACTAATTTTCATTTTATTGTCAATTTTCACACAAACATATTTTTAGAGCGACTGTCGTTAAGCGCCTAATGGCAGGCAACATTGGAGTGCAACAGCAGCTGTTATGAAAAGCTTAAAGAGATTTTTCGCTTGTGCTCACGCATGTGCTCGGGAGAGAGAAAAATCAATTTGCTGAGTGAAAAATCTCAACGACTTTTTTTTCACCTCAAAAGCTCTCGTATATACAGTCCAGCTTTTACGAGTGATTACAATGATATAAGACATCGTTTTATTGCCTGTAAAACCAGTCAGCTGTGTTATGTTGTAGGCGACAGTAAAGGTTTCCTAAATGGCACGATTCGAGCCATGAACAGCACAGCGATGCTTCGTGCGAAGAATGGGAAACACGTTGGGAGCAGAATCACTTGCCGGAAAATCTAATTGAACGCAGCTCCTGCTACTTATTAAGATTGTGCTTGACAAATTCAATGCCAGGAAGGACATGGATGCTGCGATGGTCGAAAAATTCTGGACGTACGATGATGAAACGCAGCTAATTAAGCAAGTTGGCTTTCTTTGGATCGAAATTAAGCTCAAATTACTGTAATAGATTGAAGAAAGCCCTCTCCTGAACTACATTCAGAAGCAAAATGGCGAATGACCAACGTCTAGTATTTCCCATTTCCCAAAGTACGCTTATAGCCGCACTTCACCAGAGCCTACAAAAACGCTGCATCTGATACATGATAGAGTGAAATGGGCAACAAGAGCATTTAAACTCCTTAAACCTCCAAGACTAGATGATATCTTTCCTGCCGTATTACTCATCAACAGGTAATATAGTTTTTCCTTAGCCAACCTCTCCATGGCGCGCGTTCTCCGGGTACGAACTAAGGCGAAAATATTCATATCAAAGAGCGAATGAGCCTCCTGAGAAACCAGTACTCCTATTCTAAAGGCAAAGCTATCCACACCAAACTTCACACCATTGACACGAGTATTGAGAAAGGTCTCCCTGCTCTCAAATAGTAAAAACTAGATCTTTTGTTCGATATCGTGGGGAACTTTAACAATGCCTTACTCGAAATAGTCAACATAATCGATGGATGTAAACTCGATGACAAAGCGGTTTGTGCAGTTTACTCAGAATCTCTTGCAGTCGGCATGAGAAAGAGACTTCCTGAGTACTGCATCACCTTTCAAGCTGAAACGAGTTAACGGAAGCCCCTTCATGGTTACTCAACGCATTAAAATGTATTCTGACTGGGAAAAGAATGGTGAGGAATTGGTGGAACACTACCTCTGACACTGCTCAGCCAACCAAATTTTTCCAACAAATTATACCTCACATACACACACTCAGAAGCGGTTGAGGACTCGACCGCGGGTGGTCACATTTAGTCAACTGAGTGAACTCATTATGCTCTCAACTATGTGTTGACAATGGCTGGAAGGGCAACGTGAAAAATATGACTTTGCATTCGGGTTAAGGGCGGGGACTTGCCTAGCTTTGTTTCTTTCTGTACATGCTCTGTACTCAGTTGATTCAACCTTACTTTATTTTTGAAGACTTTCATCTTTCCCATGAAGAAGCAGACCTCAGTATTCCCAATCAGCTGTGAAAGGCGAGTGGGAGGCTAGGGAAGGTTATCCACAAAGCACACTATTCTTATGTGCAGAAGTTGGTTAATCAAGGTGAGACAGTATAACCTCCTGTGGAGTGTCACAAGTGATTTCGTTTTTTGCTCAAAATATGCCTCAACTAGGCAATTAAACTCTGCTGGATCTCAAATGATGGATTGCGGTGAAAAAACTGGAAGTGAAAGCCCATTTGGAGATCACACAATCTTCTTATTCCACCTCTTGGAACAGAGATCGGGTATGCGCTGACCAATGACATCAGTGAATCTTTCAAAACTAACTGTTTTAGAAGTAGTGTAGTACCCAAATGCTTTGTACACAAAAACTTTTTTATTGCCAAGTCTTACCATACTGACTAAAGCTAAAATTCACCGACATGAGTCGACATTTTTGAAAATCCACCATTGGACATATTGGTATTAAAAGTCACACCAGCAGGTGTTAATATAATTTTGCAAATCATTGAAGGCTTTATTTTTTTTTGTAAAACTATTTACTCATCGTAAAATGTCAAAGAGAAATTCTGCCATTTTTTTAATGAAAATATTTGCTTGATATCCAATTTTGATCTCAATAAACGATATTGCGGTTTGTGTAGTCCAAGATTCGACACAAGTTTTTCAAGTTTTTCTTGGTTTCAAAAGTGCAGTGTTGTATTTTGACATCTGTCAAACTTAACTGTCAAGCCAAAAATATTTTATTTTGGTAAAAGTGAGGTATTTTTGAAAATGGATCGCACACGGCATTAAATTTGTTAAAACAACTAAAAAAAAAATGGTTCTTCCGGTGTTTCGTACTTCAAGAGAAGATTATGGTACACAAAATCGTCCAACTACTCAAAGACTTGGTAGAATTTTAAAGAAATTTGAAGAAACTGAAACGGTTGCAGATATTCTAAGGCCTGTGCACCAACGTTTTGTTCCTTCCACACCAAAAATCGCTACTGTAAATGTAGTTGTAGTCGAGGACCCGAAAGAGAGCTGGGGCTTTCCTACGGCACGTCATGGCGTATTTTACGCTTAAACTTATACAAACATCCATGTCAAGTCCAGCTTACACAACAACTGAGCTCAGCTGCGCATTCGCAATGCCGTACGTACGTCGATTGGTTGGTTGAACAACGAGGACGTACGTACGTCGATTGGGTGGTTGAACAACGAGCAATGGGCGCTGATTTTTCGAACAAAATTTGCTGCAGCGATGAGGCACATTTCTCACTCCTGGGATACGTAAAATTGACGCATTTGCGGCGCGGAGATTTTACAAATGATTGAAGAGAGGCCATTACACCCAAACACACGGACTGTCTGGTGCGCTCTTAGTTCTGCAGGTGTGAATGGCTCTCATTTCTTCGAAAACGACAACAGCGAGGTTTTCACTATCAATTCGATGTTGTGAGGTCGCATGACAACCGACTTTTATTTGCAAATCAAGAAAAAGACTTGGACTATATGTGAGACTGAGCCCCGATTATGTGTCTCTTTATGGAGGCGAATTCATTGAATAAAGCCAATTTTGAACAGAAAAGTGTTTTCTTTTAGTAGGCTCTTGTTACTTTTCCGCCCAGGTGTTAGAATTTTATTTGTAACGGCTTTCCTAGTGACCCAGTTAACGCATAAATGATAGAATAAAATTGATTTAAAAAAAAATTCTAAGACCAGCCGCTTATTTGCCTAGTCATACTAGTCCATATAAAGCCTAAATCCACAACAATAAGTCAATAGTCTACTTTAGAGGTTCTCCCACTCAATAACCGAAATGTTCGATTTAATTAAGGGACGCGGTCGCACTGTGTTTGCATCACGCGATGCAGTCATTTACTTGTTCAACAGTTTTCGCTATTTGGGCATCAATCCACCGGACAAATATCGCATACCATATTTTCTGTACTCTGCAATTATAACATTCTTCGCCGTACTCTTCTCGCCGGTCATTTTCAATGTCGGTTGGTTGCGTGATCGCAATAAACTCTCAGTCATGGAGATATTAACTTGTGTGCAAGCCTCATTGAATGTTATGGCGGTGCCGCTTAAATGCATCACTTTGGCAATGGCACAGAATCGTCTACGCAGCATTGAACCGATGGCCAATGAATTGGATGATTATTACAGACAACCAGCGGATAAGGTTAAAATAAAGAAATGCGCTGTAACGGGTAATCGTCTGGTATTCGGATTTGCGGTATCATATCTTATGTATGAAACATTGACTGTTGTCTCTGCATTGGTTGGTGGTCATGCACCCCTATCGCTTTGGATACCGCACGTCGATTGGCACAGATCCACTTGGGAATATTGGTTGCAAGTTAGTTTTGATGCAGCCGTACTTTTCTTTTTGCTCTACCATCAAGTATTGAATGACTCATATCCGGCGGTTTACATCTACATAATACGTACACAAGTACAATTGTTGGCGCATCGTGTGGAGAATTTGGGTTATGACGAAACTAAGAGTGATGATGAGAACTATAAAGATTTATTGGAGTGCATTGTCTTACATCAGAAGATACTCAAGTGAGTGGCGAAATTTAGTGAAATATGTAAAAGGAAATAATCGATGTGCTGGGCTATGGGAAAGTTGTTAGGGGAGACAATACCAGTCCTCATTGAAAAGTTGCTTAGAGGAGAAGGAGTAATGCAACAGCTTGTGGGTATATAGCCAGCTTTACATATATACTATTATGGTTGCTGATTTTTAACGAATTTCACTGTCGATGTCCTCCAGATATGTATGGTATGATATCGGGAAATCCCTTTATGAAATGGATGAGTGCATAAGTTCGTGCCCGATTTCAAGTGCAAACTAAAATTGAAATTTTTTGAAGAAAGCGCTTTTATTAATCAATTAAGTATTTGCCATCATGTTCGACAATCCACTCCCAACGTTCAACCAATTTACGGATGCCTGATTCATAGAAATCGCGCGGTTTCTCGCTGAAAAAGGTGTCAAGGTGGTTTTTGACGTCTTCCACATTTTTAAATTTTTTTCCATTCAAATTGTTCTGCAGCGATCGAAACAAATGATAATCAGAAGGTGCAATGTCGGGTAAATATGGGGGATGCGGCATGATTTCCCAATTCATCTCCTTCAGTTTGGCCAGGGTCGGTTTTGCAACATGTGGCCTGGCGTTGTCATGATGGAAAAGAACTCCTTTGCGATTGGCCAAAATCGGACGTTTTTCATCAATTGCTTTCTTCAATTCGACCAATTGCTGACAATACTTGTTGGCAGTGATCGTTTCTCCATCTGGCAAGAGCTCAAATAGATCACGCCTCGGATATTCCACCAAATGCACAGCAGTACCTTCACCGGATGCAATCCACCTTTCGACATCGGTTCCGCCCCTTCGTGTGCCTGTTTCCATGTTCTTTTGCGTTGAACATTGTTGTACAGGATCCATTTTTCATCACCAGTCACGAGCCGATCCAAAAAAGGTTCGTTTTTGATCCGTCGAAGCAAAGAAATTGCTGTTGACATACGGTCCACTTTGTTTTTTTCACTCAAGTGATGTGGCACCCATGTATCGAGCTTCAAAGTGTACCCGCCCTTTTTTAAACGACGAAACTCAGTTGATTTATTGACATTCAATTCACTGGCAACCTCTTTCGTCGAAATACGTGAGGTATTCGCAACTAAAGTCCTTAGAACATCGTCATCAAGCTCAGAAGGCCGTCCACTGCGAGGTTGATCTTCGAGGTTAAAATCTCCAGAACGAAATTTCGCGAACCATTTCTTTACTGTGCGGAGTGCTGGAGCATGGTCCAAATAAACTTCGCGAATATCTTTAGTTGCAGCGCCTACTGTTTTTCCTTTGCGGAATTCGTATAACATAATGTGACGCATATGATCTTTTTCGTAGTCCATCTTCTATGCGTCTTTTCACTAAGCAACTCAAATCAAAATGAAGTTATTTTATGCTTGATTTACAGTTCGGACTGTCACCTTTCCAACGATATATAATATGTATATATTTCTTCCACGTGCGCCACTCTCAAACGATTCGAATGGCATCCAGCGGAATCAGGCACGAACTTATGCACTCAATTTCTGTGGTTTTAAATATGAGTTAGGCGCATCCAACCTGCCTTGTCGCTTGGCAAAAGTAAAAATATCGAGTCTTGTAATTTCTAGTTCCTAAATTTTGTTCGAGCAACCAGTTTGGGAAAGTCTAGCTGAGCTGATCTTACTGTTCATTTTAGCCCATTGTCTAGACCAGCAGTTGTTATAAAGCGGGTGTGTAATAGAGCGTAGTTAAGTTTCTGGGCATGCAGTTACCGTCGCGGGTATACACTCAATTCTTACTCTTGCGTCCACATCGCGCAAGATTCGGTAGAGCCGTGTGGAGGCGCATAGCCTTGGGTCACGACCAAAAAAAGAGAGGACGCTTCAGTGGTTTTACTCCGACTTATTCGGCTTAAGAGTTTGCTGAAGTCTAAGTGCAGCGTCTGTGCACCAGGGGTGCGGGCGTTGGTTTTGAAGTGAGCGGCTCGCTATATAAATGTGGAAAAAATGTAAACTTACACGCTTAGCGAGGTTGTGCGTTGGGTTTAGGAGCCGCAACTTAAATACCAGATTTAATGGAAAACTTAAAACGCCTCGGATGAGGCGAATTAAGGTTTATGATTTGAGTCCATTCAGCTGAAATGTACGGTCCCTTAGTTGGGAAGGTACGGCTGCCGAGCAGTTTGATGTCGTAGAAATTAAAGCTGACACCACCGTCGTCCAAGAAGTGCGATAGAACGCTGAGGGTACGAGTTATACGATGCATTGTCATAGTTCACCTAATGAAGGGACAACAGTTGGGCAGGCTACCTCAGCTTTGAAAATACCCGCTGGTGGAAGCAGAGAAAGAACTAGGCGTACTGGTTTCTTTTCGTATTTCCAACTGGTGCCGAACAGCGAAGTGATTGAACGAATGACGCGCTATTAATCCTGTATGCGATGCCTACGCCAATGAAGAAGAATAATTAGTTAGATCAAAGTCAGGCCACTTCGTCTGAATGGTTCTATTAGCTGGGGCTATTAGCTGGCCAATTCTCTTTGCATATCTTAAAATTAGACTGTCCAAGTTTCTATAAGTTCAAAGTGCTCTTGAAGTATATATAAAATCGTAAAAATTTTAGTTTTAAAAAATATATATTTTTCTTCATTAGAATCGTCAGCATTGTGGAGCCTGTAGTATCTGTTACAGTATTCACACAATTTTTGGTCGCTGCTGCTATACTTGGTGTAACCATGATTAATATTTTCATCTTCGCCGATCTCACGACGAAAATCGCTTCGGTCACCTACTTCTTTTGCGTTCTCCTACAGACTTCGCCGACATGCTATCACGCTTCGTATTTACTTGCCGATTGTGATGAGCTGCGTTTATCGATTTTCAACTGCAATTGGATTGCGCAGAATAAGCGTTTCAACAATTTACTTATTTATTTTTTACATCGCTCACAGGATTCTATACCTTTTTTCGCCTTAAAATTGGTGCCCATCAATTTGGCTACTAATTTGTCGGTGAGTATTTTAATTTTGTGTAGATGAAGGGATATGATAATGAAGCTTCTTAATTTTTAGATCGCTAAATTTTCCTTCACGCTATTCACTTTCATACAAGAAATGGGTCTGGGTGAGAACTTAAAGGGTTAGTGGAAAGAAAGAGATCACGCTAAGGCGTCAATAAATTATTAATATTTAAATACAATACTTTATGATTTAGAAAATATATTTTGTAGTGCACTTGTAGTAACTTAAATGAAGAATTATCACTAAATGCATATTGTTGTTTTTATAACGGCTCAGCAGATTCATATTTGGAATCAGTGTCGAAAGAGGATGGCATGATAAAAAACCTGAGATGGGTTGACGTATTGTCCGCTCAATAATAGACGGCTGGAGATCACCTATCTCTACTGCTGCGTGGTATCTAACAGTAATTATATTATTCTCGAACCCGAGTTTTTCTAGACAAACTTTGCCGAAACAACACTGCAAAAGGTCATACGAAATACACGCTGTCAAAAGAGAGAACATCTCTATGGTTGTGGTAGTCTCAACAGATCCCTGCTTGTTAGGATGACATGCAGTGGCCGCTTTTAGGGGATACTGTAGGAGCTGCAGGTAGGATGAAATGCCATAAACGGCCTCACAGCTGCTCTGTGATTGTTTCCTCCTGGGCAGTGCTAGTTTCCAATATCAAGCAGCTGTTTTCACCTACCATTTGGATGAAATAGTCGCCAACAAGTTAAATTAGCTAATGAAATTTTTAGAGTGATCAAAGTGGCTGGATAAAGAAACTTAGTGAACGGCTTAACAACGTGGTAACACAATGGGCGTACACTGACCTAAGTGTATTGATATTCACTCATCGATGATAAACACTTCAACGTAACCTAGAAAAAAAGTAATAATGTCCCGCCTGGAAACGGAACTAGATGATAGAGGGTTAATAGCATGTGAAGCTTGAATTCACACTCGAACAGTCGCTTCCTATCCATTATTCTAATAGTGCTACGCTCACACCTAACCCCACATCTCCAAACTGTCAGTTTGACAGATAATTGCATGAAATTGAAATGCCAGTTTTTGTATGGGATTTGATTTCTTAACATAATCATTTATAAAATGGCGCCAACGAAGTATGTTTTACGCTTTAAAGCACTGAAAAAATGTTTGAATACTAAAAAACTTGCTGAAGAAGACGAAAAAAGGAAAGTTGCTTTCATTCATTGAATTTCTAGATTTTAATTTAACTATCAAGCTTACGTATAAATGAGGTTTTCGCTGTCAAAATATAAAGGCGAGAGTTGATGGCAGACAAAAGATGCCCAGCAAAAAGCTCTGAAAGCTTTTGGCAAATGCAGTGAACCCTTAGAGCTAGGGAATCCAGGCCTAAGGGTTTGTAATGCTGAAATCTAAGCTAACAAATGCCTTCTTGCCAACTGAATCCTAAATAGCCGGGTCTTTTTTAATTGAGAAAAATCAAAATTTAAATTTAAAATGATTTTAGTCAAATTTTTATTTCAAGTTGCTTGCAACTCAACCAGGAGAGCCCATTTGGTGATAACAAAAATCTTTGGGATCTAATGAATATTCTAAATCTATATACAATAACAAAACTCTTGATCCAGTTTATTGCATTGCCACGATCTGTTTTCCAAATCTTAATATTAGGTCTAGTAAAAAGAAATCCATTATTTTTGTTTTAAATTGAAGGCTTTATATTTTTTTTGTAGTTTATCTGATTCACGTATGTTCAGCCCATTCTACTTAATAACTTTTTGGAATTTGAAGTTATTATAATGTTATGTATTTTCCAAAAATTTGGACAATCGATTTTCACAGGCTGCTCTTGAGCACGATTCTTCAACAGCCAAATCATTCGCCATAAGTAAAAACAGAATCTAATTTTGGTCCGAGATTTGTACTCCCGATAGTGGATGTATAAGAGCAACCCAACCAAGCTTCGGGAGCTTCTGCCGAGTCACTATCGATGTGTGTGATCTGGCGTTGTCCAGATGAAACACAATTCGCCTGTTGGCTAAAGCTGGGCGCTTTTGGGTGGCTCATAGTTGATGATTGCTTGAAAATCCTACCAAATTCATAACAAAACCTTTTTGACCGTCTATTCCGGCTTCGATACTGTTTGTGCCGGCTCACTGCCTTTCAACCACGACTTTTTCCATTTGAAGTTGCTGTATGTGATCTACTTTTCGTAACCAATCACCATCTGCTTCAGAAAAAGAACAATTTTGTTTACAATTCAGCAGCGTTTTGCAGATGGAAGTGCGGTTCACGGAGTTTGTTCTCGCTAACTAGGCCACAAAGTTGAGCTCTTCCAATAAACTTTGTGAGCGGAAGTGTGAGTATTGATTGTTCATCCAAGAGCGTCAGATTGCTGACAAAAAAAAAAAGGAAAAAAGGATGTAGAAATACATCGGATGTTAAAAAATAAATGTCAAACGGGTGTGCTACATTCGAATCCCTTCCTCGAACTTGTCATTCATTTTGTTCGTTGAAACGACAAACTTTAAATGATCTTAAAGCATACGAATTGTGGAAGATTTGGACTATCTATATCATCCACAGCTCTGCCTCGACCACCTCTTTTTTCACATGAGCACCGGTAAGAGTGAAAAGGGAATATACCAACGGTCTGCCATGTTTACTGCTGACTCAAACCTCGATGATAGGTTGCGATTGAAACCCACTCAATGATGCTCTCAATTAATATGTACAGATCAAGCCGAGCCGTCGATCACAAGTCGATCAAGTAGTGTACAACCAGGTTACCACAAGATCTCTATAATGCAAGTACAACAAATTAAGATTGGCTTTAAAATGTAGATGCACCATGAAGAGGCTCTCAAATAAATGTAACACAACCGTAATCTCAGTGTCCGAGCTCCGGAAAATCACTGTAAAATGCACGGCGGTCAAGCTACTGTTAACTTTACATACGTTGCGGACAAAAGAAACGCTAAAATTGGCTTCGTTAAGAAAGTCAATATCACAAAGCTTAACGAAACATCTTTAGTACGCGGAATGGGAATTGGCTAATGTTGGACTGCAAACTCTTAACTCTTAACTCTGAACTCTTAACTCTTAACTCTTAACTCTTAACTCTTAACTCCTAACTCTTAACTCTTAACTCTTAACTCTTAACTCTTAACTCTTAACTCATTACTCTTCAAGATCAGTGCTCTATTATGTGTAACAGCAGGACAATCTTTAATGGAGCTTCACATTTAGAGGACGAAGGGAGAACCTGCCTGTCAGTGAGTGGCCCTAACCACCGCGCGATATAATTTCTTGGAATCCAGTTTATTGATTCTCACTCTAAGCTAACCTCAATCAGTATGAACAATCTCACTTATAATATACACTACAGGAACTTGACAGCAATAAGGTAATGGATCTACTGGTCTTAAAGCGATTTATGACCGTTGATATTAATTCAACAGAAACTTTCTTACAAGCTCATTAGTTTTACAGTTACCAGCTGGGTTTGAACTAAGCCGCCTCTGAACGGCGTATGGATTTTCATGAGATCCTTTTATTTCACTCGGAGTACTTGACATTTCCTGCCGAGGGGTGACCGCAATTAGAAAAATAGATTTTTCTATAATTTTGGACGTCGGTGACAACAGGACTTGAACCCTCCTCTTCAGAATGGCAGTACGTAATGCTAACCACTCCGCTGTTAAAGTCGCCTGTGGTCTACCCCCTTAGCTCTGATAACTTGCAGGTTTTGCGCAAATACCACCGCGTAAAGTCTTAATAGAACTATTAATTTCAATTGGCTTGGTATTTATTTAACTTGCACATGGTGGTAATGCAAGTCACAGGTTTTAATTAAAACCACTACAAGCTCTAGCTTAACCGCATAAGTAGGAAATAAAAAGCAGCGTGGTAAGAAAATCCCATAAGTAAGAAGTAAATAAGAAGTGCAAGAAAGTTCACGAACGCTTTGCTATAACACAAAGTTACAAATTTATATGCACTTTGTCTATTTGCCGAGGTTTGCAACGGTAATTATGTAAATTGGTTGCAATTTATGCAACACTTGTTGTAGAATAATTCACACCTCGTTGCATTGTACTTAATTATGTATAAGGAATTATAATTAAATGTGTATATTACAGCAGGTGGTTTGCCTGCCCCCGCGGTTTATAGTAAACTTAAGGGCTTCAGGCAATTTGAAGGAAAAAAATTTAATTAAAAGATATTCATGAAATGAACTTTGACCTCAGGACCTTTTGAAATATTATCATAAATTAAGCTATAGGAGTACCGAAAAGTTCATAAAAAAGGTGAGGTGAAATGTATCTGGAGTTACTGTTTGGCTTGTAATTAGTCAAGTTTCGAGCCTCTTGCCTCTTGGTTTAAGGACCTGATCTGTTGGAGTACAGGACACTATTATTTAGCATAGGTTAGGTTAGGTTGAAGTGACTGCCGGACATCAGCATGCCACTAAATGGGCTCACTGTGAATGCACTGCATACACTGAATGGAAACACGCATCTAAAATGGATTTTTGGATGGTTGACAGGCCAAAAATTACTGGCATCACTTATGAGTAATAAAGACCCAGACAAAGCAAAGAGAAGGCATAAGTGAGACACTGGTACACATCCTTTGCTTCTGTCTGGTTTTACTTAGAACTAGTCTTACATATATAGGAGACTTGCAGTTCAAAGAACTGGATGGAGTATCAAAATAAGATATCAAGAGTCTTTTGAAATTCATTAAAAGCCTAAGCTGAACCTCCTGCTAGCATTACTATGTATGACATGACATCAAGGCAAAACTGCACTCCTGCTCGTCAAAAAACAACGTAGTATAAATGCGCTTTGCGATGACACCTCAGACCTTTCTTATGGCCGTTAATGGGTTTTTGATAATCAATAAAGGAAAGCTGCTACTATGAGGAAAGCCATGCTAGAGTGCAGAGAAAAAACAGAGTGTCTCGCAGTGTTGGGAAGATAACACAGAAGATGGCAATACTGAACACTGGCGACGTTAGTTCTGCATGATCCAGATCGTCAAACAAATAGTTAGCGGAGACGATACGAGACAATACGAGAAGAGAGGTGCCGGAACGAGACGAGACAATATGAGAAGAGAGGTGCTGGATCGAGAGGAGATGA